TGTTTACGTTTGTGTGTTGCTCGGCAACCACTTTGTTGCAACCACAACTGTTTCTGAGGAACTACATTGTTTGGTGGAAGAATACTGTTTTTATTAATATCATTACACTTTATTTGCTCGGTTTTATTTTGTGAAACCTTACTTACGTATATGGAATAACCATTTTATAAAAGCAATAAGCCCCGTGAAGCCGTAGTTTACAGTGAATTTATAACTCCGCTTCGTGCCTAACAACACCCCTTAGCTGTTATAAATTCACTGTAAACCACGGCTTCTTGGAGCTTATTGCTTTAATAAACAGCTTGAATATTCGATTTCTACAATTGGGTGGGAATTAAACGCCCCTTTCTGCTGATTGGTCAGCCGAAGATCAAACCGTGCCGTCATCAGTTCTTCCACAGTATCACGCAGCAGAATAATAGTCCTCCGCTGCTGCAGTTGTATGGATTCTTAACGCGTTAATTGCAACTACATTTCATCTTTTTTGATCAAACAAACTGACTAATGAATAGCTCAACACAACTCATACTGGGGCAGAGTCTAGACAGGGCTTTCTTCTGTGTAGATATAAATTCTATTCTTTGCATCAGCTGGGCATGGCAGGGTATGATATGACAGCTGTCATAGCCTACCCTGCTCACCCAGTAAGTCTGTTTGTTTGTTTAATTAATTCGATTTCTACATGTGGGCGGGAATTAAACGCCCCTTTCTGCTGATTGGTCAGCTGAAGATCAAACCGTGCCGTCATCAGTTCTTCTGCAGTATCACGCAGCAGAATAATAGTCCTCCGCTGCTGCAGTTGTATGGATTCTTAACGCATTTATTGCAACTACATTTAATCTTTTTTCATCAAACAAACAGGCTAATGAATAGCTCGACACAACTCATACCGGGGCAGAGTCTAGACAGGGCTTTCTTCTGTGTAGATATAAATTCTATTCTTTGCATCAGCTGGGCATGGCAGGGTATGATATGACAGCTGTCATAGCCTACCCTGCTCACCCAGTAAGTATGTTTGTTTAATTAATTAATTTGTTTAAAATTAAATATTTTAAACACTAAGACATAAGGAAAGAATAATAAATTGGCTTGGGTATATATAGGCCTATAACGTTCACGCAAGAACTGTCATTTTGACTGACAACCGGAGAACAACAGACATTAAATAGCCTACTCTTAGAGTTTTATAATGTAGTCTTGTGTTTTATTAAAATTGATTATAATTGATATCTCAAAAGGATATGTGCTCGCCTCGCACACAGGACTGCACTGCAAGATTTTCATAAAATGTAATAACTTGCCATTTCGGTTTGTTTCTCACCACAGTATACCTTCAGAATGCTTGGAATATTTGCCACGAGATGCATATAAACTCAATAAGCAGACAGGCGCGACTACAGTCAAGCGCAGACCAGTATTGAAGTGCACAGGAAATAAGCAGCAGTCATAATTAAAGCAGTTTAAATATGCAGTTTAAATTAATATTTAGTACTGATTGATGTTCACTTAGATTTTTTTCCCCATCGAGGGGAAATAACTTAATGCTCCGTCATTAAATAGTCGTATGGTAAAATGTATATTTTTATTCTCAATGTCATGCCTTGAGAAATAATGAGAACAACAGAATGCGCTGCTTTAGCGCGTCTCGGTCTCCATGAGCATCTTTCCGGCGCATGCCACAAACATGAACCACAGGGAATACTTGTCTTTTAAAAGGCTTCATTTAGATTATTTGACGTTAAATGCATCATATAAGTCACTTTGGAATAAATCACAGTATGTATCATGATAAAAAAGCCACTTTACAGTCTGTAAAATACGGTAGGCTATAGAAAATTAATTTGCGGACCCCCCATCACTTTAAGAACCACTGGTCTACACAGAAGAAAGCCCTGTCTAGGCTCTGCCCCGGTACGAGTTGTGTCGAGCTATTCATTAGTCAGTTTGTTTGATCAAAAAAGATGAAATGTAGTTGCAATTAACGCATTAAGAATCCGTACAACTGCAGCAGCGGAGGACTATTATTCTGCTGCGTGATACTGCAGAAGAACTGATGACGGCACGGTTTGATCTTCGGCTGACCAATCAGCAAAAAAGGGGCGTTTAATTCCCACCCAATTGTAGAAATTGAATATACAAGCTGTTTATTAATTTTTCTATCCCTGAACGAAAAACGGAAATTTAAGCTGAATTCTAATTGTTCGTTTTTTGGAGCGGTTTTCTCATTTTTCTACTTTTAATGTTAAATCAAAAAACGAATGATACATGGATTATTTATGTATTTATTTTTTGTAGAAGAGTGAAAGGTGAAAGAGCTCTACTTGCCTGGTCGATGTAAAAGGCAGTTCCAGACCGGATCTCTCTGCGCTGTTTGAGATCAGTCTCAGTAGTATCTCTGGACAGGGCAACATATTCCACTTCTCGCTTTGTTAATTCCTAGCAAACAAGAAAAAAAATGTAAAAAGAGGAAAGACGATAAAGGATGTAGTTGCGTGTTTCACTTTGCAGAAATTGAGCAAGTATTGGGGGGTGTGGTTGGGGGTGGTAATACTTGAAATTACCAGGTACTGCATGGCAATTGAACGGCGCAGAGGACCAGGAGGACCAATGAGAAACACGTCCTGTCCAAGAAGGTCCTTCTGCATTATCCAGCGAAGGTGTTGGGTGACCATTTGTGGCAAAGCCTCCATCACTGTAAAAAAATAAAAAATTTTTTTTTTTTTTTTTACTCTCTTGCTCTCCATATATAGGCAACATATTCCACTTCTCGCTTTGTTAATTCCTAGCAAACAAGAAAAAAAATGTAAAAAGAGGAAAGACGATAAAGGATGTAGTTGCGTGTTTCACTTTGCAGAAATTGAGCAAGTATTGGGGGGTGTGGTTGGGGGTGGTAATACTTGAAATTACCAGGTACTGCATGGCAATTGAACGGCGCAGAGGACCAGGAGGACCAATGAGAAACACGTCCTGTCCAAGAAGGTCCTTCTGCATTATCCAGCGAAGGTGTTGGGTGACCATTTGTGGCAAAGCCTCCATCACTGTAAAAAAATAAAAAATTTTTTTTTTTTTTTTACTCTCTTGCTCTCCATATATACAGTATATGTATGTATATATACATATATTTAAAAACAAAATTACAATAAAATTAAATTATGAACAATTATTTTATTTAAATGGCAGATTACTAAAAAGTAATTTGCAACTAGTTAGCTTAATACTTATAATCACCTACATTTTTAATATTTATGATATTTAACTCATGTTAATTGATTGTTTTGTGTATTTATTTTAAAAGTTAAAAATGTAATAAAATCTTAATAGAATTTCAAATTTCATCCTGCATCCGACATTTTTGTTTGATTGTTTTGTTTAGCAATAATAAAACCAATGTCACATTTATGAGGCATTTTTGCAATGACTTTTTTTTGGTGACTTTTAATGGATGTACAGTATGAAGTTGAAGTTCACACAGGTGTCCTAGCAGAGTAACCACATCATACAAACTGGCACATACTATGATTTACTGGCACAAGTTCTGGATTTCTGGGAGATTTGAGCACATATGAGATCTCGCCTATCTTCACAGTGTCACCTGTGAAGACAAAAAATGGTTCAATTAAATAGCAAAACAAAGCAAATGTAACATAAACAAACAAACATATATCATATTTGGAGTATCCACTTACAAACAATCCTTGTCAACAGAGCAGGCATTTATTTTAAAACCTCAATATTTATAGAAACGTTAAAGACGCATGTAAACACATCTGAAAACAGAATACAAAATAAAACGAACTTGGTGGGCTATTTTTGACCTGTGAGTGACTAATGTAATACTTTGAGGGACGGGTTAACCTCTAAACCGGCTTAATAACAATCTATAAAGCCAAGAAGATGATAAACAGTCTTTATTAGTACCTGACGAGGTGTTGAGGAGTTTGACCTCATGTGCGCTGCACTTCCAACCTTCTTTTGACAAAACGGGCCCCAGTATATGGCGAATCCTTCTCGCAGCAATAGCTGCAGCTGTGCCTTTGAATAACATACGCGAATGCATCCTGAACCTTTGAAAAGTGCTGTTAAATTACAAATATACCGGCTACACTATAATATGTCCACTGTTATTTCATCATGCTCGCGACATAAGTGTTTACGCCAGCAGTGGGCAGCTCTAGACGGAAGCATTTAGGTGACGGACAGAAACCGTCCAGTTAACACGTCTTCCGTGTGGAACGGGCTGCTGCTTTATGAGTTCCGATTTTTAAACATTCGAACGGCTCGTCGGCTCCACGGGAAACAAACTTACAAAATCTTTCCCGAAGCGTTGATTTCCAGGAATAACTCAAAGAATAACTTCTGTTGAGGTTAGGGGGATTCCCGTGATGTAGTTTGGTTGTAAGTGAATTGACTGAACTTAACCATAAACAAGCACGCAGACAGTTTGGAACAAAATAAAATAAAATAAAATAAAATAAAATAAAAACTGCATCTTAGGCCGAATAATGAGACGTATTGTCTCGTTGTACTATCACTTTAATGATTTTATCCCAATGTTCATATATGAAGTCAGTGACTCGAAACTCTTTATGAGCTAATGCATAATGTTATAAATAAATACGAATTCATGCAATCTTTGATCACATAATATAAAACTATTTGTATGTTGCTTTTAATGTGACGGCGTGCAAATTAACATGTCTTTCTAAACAATCATAAAAGCGTGTGTTTCTAGTGCTGGTTATTATTGTTATTACGGAGTCTTTAAAATATGGGATAATGTGTAAAAAGCAGGTTCCCTGACGTCACGGATAGCGCTTCAAATCCTTGTAGGGATTTGACATTTATCACGTGCAGAGAAGGAGGCTCAGTCTCTGGGAGAGAGACCCTGATAGAGCAGGGAGGAGTGGAGAAAGGGTGTAATAGACTCAAACCATATGCCCGATTACACGAGTGAAAGTAGCGCTTGATTTGTGCTGAAGCGTGCGCGGAGAGATCTTGAGCACAGGGACTAGGAGAATATGGAAGATGATTGCCAATACACTCGCAGCCCTGCCTGGGAAGAGCTGGTCAGTACTGCTGCACGCTTTCTACTCCGATACGCACCATCAGAGAGATCCTTTATAACCGCACATGCATGCTGATTATGGGATTTTAACATGGTGTTAGTAAGCACTCGGTCGTTTCTCTGATCCGCGAAGAAGAATCCAGTTCTTCCTTCAGTTGAGCTGCTCGATCCTTAGGCGAGTTTGCATTCCTCTACAAACTGATGCACTTTTGGACGAGATAGATTTAGACATATAGCCTAAGTAGAATCCAACTGACCGATTTTTATTGTTATTTTTTAGCAGTCCAGGCTTTTGGGAGTACAGTGATTTGTTTTAAATAGCTGCACGATTGACCAGTTGGAAACATAATTAAGCCACAGTTATTCTTGGTGGCATTCGCTGTTAGCTTTTCTTAGCTATTTTAAGTTACAACTGAATGAGAGGAAATGTGCGGACCGCAATGACCCATTTTCATATAGAGGGTGAAATGGAAGTAAATTAAATTTGGAAATGTGTTTGGTGCTGTTTAGATCCGCATTTCGACCTGGAGTAGTTTTAAATAAAAACAGGCAGGCTCTGTCGCGACATGTTTATAAAATACACCTGTGAATGTAAAGAATATTTGGACAGATGATCTATAAAATCAATAGGGTTTGTGTTTAGGTCAACTGTTTGAATTCACAAACCATCAATTACGCAGATTATTACAAATCTGTTATCTACTTAATTGGGCTGTTACATGGCTTTTATGTGTGCTAATGTGAATAAATGTATAATATACATGACAGTAAGAAAGAGCATTTGAAGTGAAACTACTATTAGCTTGAAACTGAATCTCTGAAGAGGATTGTCTCACGCAAGCAACGTAACCAAAAAATGTTTTGGCTCCAGTTGAACCTCAACAGTCTGGTTTTATACAAAACTTTCTTGTTGATATACTAGCGACATGTAAATGTGTAATAAAGAGAGAAATACTGACAGTAATTATGTTTTGTGATGTGGGTGTACTGTCAATACACATCCTGTTGCTATGGTTACCGTCTCACGCGAACGGGATTTCTGTTGTCGGTGTAGGCCTAATCTAACTTTTATACCCAAGAAATAAGAAAAGTAAAAAAAAAAAAAACCTATACCCTAGCGACATACTAATTGTTTATGTGACCCTGGACCATAAAACCAGTCATAAGTTTTTAATTTTAAGTTTAAATTTTAATTGAGATTAAGATATAATCATCCGAAAGCTGAATAAATACGCTTTCCATTGATGTACGGTTTGTTAGGACAGGACAATATATGGATTAGATACAATTATTTGAAAATCTGGAATCTGTAAGAAAAATCGATCATTTTGACCCATACAATGTGTTGACTATTGCTACAAAGATACCCGTTCTACTTATGACTGGTTTTGTGGTCCAGGGACACATATTTTTGTAAAAGGGGTACCCAACCCCCCTCAATCTAGCAGTTTTATTGTCATTGTGGTAGATCTGTCCCCCTGACAGCACTTTTTTTCGGGACGCGCCAACAATGTCCAAAATGCAGTCTATATCTGGCAGCTCTCGCTAGGCTCCGAGGCTGAGCCCGGCTGTGGTTTGTAGTCGGCTATAATGTTACAGGAGAAACATCTGTTGCTGTATCCTCGCCATAGTTTGTGAGGTTCCCGTCCGCCGCTAGGGTTTGCTACAGTGATTTCCTCAGCCCTCCTGCCCTCCTGCAGCCAGAGAAGCGCTCAGGAGAACCATCCAGCAGCCGTGTTCAGACACGAACATGCACACTAGCCGGCTAGGAAAGTTTCACAGCAGCTCATTGACAATAGCGCACTGAGCGAATGTCTGGAGACGCGCGGTTGCGCAGGAAAACGCAAAAGCATGACGGCCAAGAGAACCGCTTTCCAGCCGCTGTCCAACTCCCGCATCCCGGCGGAGAGGAAGGGAGCGGCTGAGCGCCTTCATAACCCCGAGCGCTGTGCCTCTTCCCCGCAGGAGCCGGAGAAACCAGCGGCGTCCGCCTCAGGGCTCCCCGTCTTGGGGGCTGTCGGGGTCTCCGGGCCGGTGGTGGACGAGTCATCCGACAGCGAGGGAGAGCAGGAAGGGCCGCAGAAACTCATCAGGAAAGTGTCAACCTCCGGGCAAATACGAAGCAAGGTAAGACACGTTGTTTCGTATCTGAAGCCTGTGTGCGTGTGTTTTGCTGTTCGTGTCCAGGGCGGTAAGCAGCGGATGGTGCTACTGTAGCAGCCCTGCACACATGGGAGACATCCATGCGGCTTCAAACATCTGGAATGATTGCAGATTGAATAACTGATAATTCATCTCTCATAGTGAGCATGCAGTAAATGCAGCTCAGTCAGCAGTGCTCTACTTTACAGAGCCTTCAACCTGTTGATATTCAGTCACGACCACTTGTTGAAAGAGCTCCTTCTCAAGAATATGGACAGGCTTTTCTTTTCTTTTCTTTTCATTTATTTTCTTTTCTTTTCTTTTCTTTAAACTTAGTCATTTTGTTTTCATAATGCACCATTAGTCTTTTGGTTTCGTTAGTCACTCATTTTAATGGCATCAAATTATATGAATAATTATTATGAAATATTAAAGAATATAATAAGCCTATAATCAAATTATATTAATATAAGTATATTAAAATATAGTCATTTAAAATTCAAACACTCTTCTCTGGATTTTGCATGAGATTTTCTTGGTTACATTTACATTGCACTCTTAAAAATAAAGGTGCTTCACGATGCCATAGAATAACCTTTTTTTTTTGTCTAAATGGTTCCATAAAGAACCTTTAACATCTCAAGAACCTTTCTGTTTCACAAAAGGTTCTTTGTGGCGAAAGAAGGTTCTTCAGATTAATGAATGGTAATTGAAGCCTCTTGATTCTGCTCTCCTGCTTGGCAAGACGACACCTCAGCCGTCTTGCCCCACTTTAGCCGTGACACAATAAAAAGTTCCTCTTTTCTGACCAGAACAAATCCACTTAATTATTGAGTGCTGCTCTCCACCCTCCTACATTATTTAAGAGGCTATATTTAGAGACTGGCTGTTCTGAATGTGGAAGGGGCTGGTCTTTTGTAATGCTAATGAGCTGTCAGTTTAAACCACACCACAAGTGTAAATAAAGCCTCCTTCAACAAGAATCATTCAGAAACATCACTTCTGCTCTCATCAGTCAATGTACAGTAGAGTTATTGATGAATGCAACTACACATGTCCATTGTCTAGGAATTTTTAAAATAAAAGTAGTATAGGAATTGTGACATGCATTGACTTGTTTGAGATCTTTGCTGAACAAGTTTTTTTTAAATTTTTTTTTTACGAGAGTTAGGTGTGTTAAAAGGGATCTAAAGGTTTGCAAAAAATGTATTAAATTGATCAAAACAGTAAAGACATTTACATTGTTACAATTTCAATTAAAAATGCAGTTTTATTCATCAAAGAATCTTGAAAAAATATTGTAGATTCCACAAAAAAAATATTAAGCAGCACAACTGTTTTTAATTTTGAAAGACTGGAGTAATGGCTGCTGAAAATTCAGCTTTGGAGTCACAGGAATGAATTACTTTTTAAAAATATATTACAATAAAAAAAAAATAGATTTTAATAAAATTTACCATATTGATTTTTTTTTATCAAACAAATGTAGCCTTGGTGAGCTTAAGGGACTTCTTTCAACTTACTTTCAAAAATTATTATGTTATTACATATTATATTATATTTTATTATATAATGTAGTAGTGGTCAAAACTTTGGTCAAATTATAATTTTCAATGTTTTTGAAAGAAGTCTCCATTTATTTGATTAAAATACAGTGGAATATTGTGAATATATATAAAAAATTAAAAGTAACTGTTTTATATTAAAATATATTCTGTATATATATATATATATATATATATATTCATCTTTTCTTTTTCTTTTTTTCGTTTGTTTCATTGCCTATTACAAAACACATATCAGTCAAACACTAGAAATAACCTGTTTTAGCACTGAGGAAGTGCATTTGTTTTCCGAGAGTTATTCTCCAGTGCATGTGTGTTTATATTAGACTGCTCATGCCGTGGTAACTCTGTGGAGAACAGCTAATGTTCAGGCCATCTGTGTTCTCATACGTCTCGGTGCGCTACAGGAGCTGAGGGTGAGAGTGAGCACTAGTTAGCTGGGGATGGTAGGTGCTGTGTTGTCGTGTTGGTCAGTGGGCTGTGATGTGTGCGGATCAGGCGTAATGGAGCGTGTCTCAGTGCTGTCCAAAATCATTGTTTGCTTAACATGGGCTCTTCACAGACTGTCCCGTGCGTCCTGCTTGTACTCCATATGCTGTGGATCTTCTACCGTTGGACTGAGATTTTTCCGGCCCATAGTAAATACCTACTTTATCTTCATTAAGCTAACTGAGGGAGCAGGGAGTGCTATGTGTGGCAGCTTTGTCTTTGAGTAACACGTCAGGGCATGATATCAAGATAAACATGTGGTTTCTTTCAAAAGTGAAAACAAAAGGAAGAAAAAAAATCTGTGCTGTTCTGTGTCTTGCTCATTTGTGGGCTTAGTTTCCGTAGCAACATCACTCCTCCTATTTCTCCAGCAAGTTTTTTATGGAACAGTCTGCAAATTCAGTTTTACAAATTCACAGTATTCCTGATTTTAGAAATTGTACAACATGAAAAATAATATCAAGATCCTATATAATATAATATAATATAATCCTAAAATTAATTTATATTTAGCAATGATAATTGTTAATTATATATATATATAT